ACACTGCACCACACGCACCTACACACTGCACCACACGCACCTACACACTGCACCACACGCACCTACACACTGTACACACGCACCTACACACTGTACCCACACGCACCTACACACTACCACACGCACCTACACACTGTACCACACGCACCTACACACTGTACCACACGCACCTACACACTACCACACGCACCTACACACTGCACCACACGCACCTACACACTACCACACGCACCTACACACTGCACCACACGCACCTACACACTGCACCACACGCACCTACACACTGCACCACACGCACCTACACACTGTACCACACGCACCTACACACTACCACACGCACCTACACACTGTACCACACGCACCTACACACTGTACCACACGCACCTACACACTGCACCACACGCACCTACACACTGCACCACACGCACCTACACCACTGCACCAAGCACCTACACACTGCACCACACGCACCTACACACTGTACCACACGCACCTACACACTGCACCACACGCACCTACACACTGCACCACACGCACCTACACACTGCACCACACGCACCTACACACTGCACCACACGCACCTACACACTGCACCACACGCACCTACACACTGCACCACACGCACCTACACACTGCACCACACGCACCTACCACACTGCACCACACGCACCTACACACTGCACCACACGCACCTACACACTGCACCACACGCACCTACACACTGCACCACACGCACCTACACACTGCACCACACGCACCTACACACTGCACCACACGCACCTACACACTGCACCACACGCACCTACACACTGCACCACACGCACCTACACACTGCACCACACGCACCTACACACTGTACCACACGCACCTACACACTGTACCACACGCACCTACACACTGTACCACACGCACCTACACACTGTACCACACGCACCTACACACTGTACCACACGCACCTACACACTGTACCACACGTACCTACACACTGTACCACACGCACCTACACACTGCACACCACACGCACCCACACTGTACCACACGCACCACACACTGCACCACACGCACCTACACACTGTACCACACGCACCTACACACTGTACCACACGCACACACACACTGTACCACACGCACCTACACACTGCACCACACGCACCTACACACTGTACCACACGCACCTACACACTGCACCACACGCACCTACACACTGTACCACACGCACCTACACACTGCACCACACGCACCTACACCACTGCACCACACCTCACCTACCACACTTCACCCACACGCACCTACACACTGTACAACACGCACCTCACACTGTTACCACACGCACCTACACACGGCACCACACGCACCTACACACTGTACACACGCCTACACACTGCACACACCACCTACATGCACCACACACTACCTACCACTGTACCACACGCACCTCACACCGCACCACACGCACCTACACACTGCACCACACGCACCTACACACTGCACCACACGCACCTACACACTGCACACACGCACCTACACACTGCACCACACGCACCTACACACTGTACCACACGCACCTACACACTGTACCACACGCACCTACACACTACCACACGCACCTACACACTGTACCACACGCACCTACACACTGTACCACACGCACCTACACACTACCACACGCACCTACACACTGCACCACACGCACCTACACACTGTACCACACGCACCTACACACTGCACCACACGCACCTACACACTGTACCACACGCACCTACACACTGTACCACACGCACCTACACACTGCACCACACGCACCTACACACTGTACCACACGCACCTACACACTGCACCACACGCACCTACACACTGCACCACACGCACCTACACACTGCACCACACGCACCTACACACTGTACCACACGCACCTACACACTGCACCACACACACCTACAGCTCCTAAAGCATATAATCAGGCTATAGCCGTTGTGTATTTTATTTTATTACATGGTTTAGTTGAATACTCGATTCTGATTGGTCAATTCAGAACACGTGACACGTTGTTAATCCAGAACAGACCGCTGTCAAGGATTTATTGACCGTTGTTAAGGACGCTCACATCTGCACAAATACATCCGTTCGATTGAACTGTACAGTACAGTTTGGCTGAAAAGCTTCATGCCGATCTAGATCCCTCCGCTTCGAGCCGGGCTCCTGATCAGCCGGTCAGTGTTCTTTTCCCCATAATGACCACGTCGCTGCACATTATCCCATGTGAAGCACTAAATGGTCTTAGAAAAATATCGACTCTTTGTTTGTAGTTATCTACTAAACTACAGCATACACATACAGAGAGTAATGTAGGCCTGTTATACTGAGTGATATATATTATACACACTGCTCTGCTTTCTGCACGGACCTCACAGCTGTTCTCACTGGAAACATCGCGTTGCGATGAAAGCAGTTACTAATATAATATCCAGGGGATGCATGCAGAGCTGTCATTGGCTGAGATAAGTCCGGCCGTGCGTCACGCCTCCACCGTTCCCGGAAATGCATCCGCGGAGGAGCCGTGGAGGAACCATCAGTGTATCCTCGGTTAGAGCTCCTCCAGAGAGCCTCCTCGACGCTCGATGCTCGGTCCTCGGTCCTCGGTGTGCATTTAGAGAAATTAGATGTCCTTCAAAATGGCGCGCTGAAATTCATTTCCGGGTCACTACCGGAGGACCGAGGAGTCGAGGAGGGGAAATTTGAGTATTGAGAAACCTCTAATGTCAGGGTCTTATCTTAATGTAAATGTCACAGCTAGTGTCTGCTGTCTTTATGGTAAGGAATGGAGGAGTGCGTGCAGGTCAGGTGCTCCAGATGCTACAGTCTGTCTCTGTGGGTCAGTACAGTCTGTCTCTGTGGGTCAGTACAGTCTGTCTCTGTGGGTCAGCACAGTCTGTCTCTGTGGGTCAGTACAGTCTGTCTCTGTGGGTCAGTACAGTCTGTCTCTGTGGGTCAGTACAGTCTGTCTCTGTGGGTCAGTACAGTCTGTCTCTGTGGGTCAGTACAGTCTGTCTCTGTGGGTCAGTACAGTCTGTCTCTGTGGGTCAGCACAGTCTGTCTCTGTGGGTCAGTACAGTCTGTCTCTGTGGGTCTGCACAGTCTGTCTCTGTGGGTCAGCACAGTCTGTCTCTGTGGGTCTGCACAGTCTGTCTCTGTGGGTCAGTACAGTCTGTCTCTGTGGGTCAGTACAGTCTGTCTCTGTGGGTCAGTACAGTCTGTCTCTGTGGGTCAGCACAGTCTGTCTCTGTGGGTCAGCACAGTCTGTCTCTGTGGGTCAGTACAGTCTGTCTCTGTGGGTCAGTACAGTCTGTCTCTGTGGGTCAGTACAGTCTGTCTCTGTGGGTCAGTACAGTCTGTCTCTGTGGGTCAGCACAGTCTGTCTCTGTGGGTCAGCACAGTCTGTCTCTGTGGGTCAGCACAGTCTGTCTCTGTGGGTCAGCACAGTCTGTCTCTGTGGGTCTGCACAGTCTGTCTCTGTGGGTCAGCACAGTCTGTCTCTGTGGGTCTGCACAGTCTGTCTCTGTGGGTCAGTACAGTCTGTCTCTGTGGGTCAGTACAGTCTGTCTCTGTGGGTCAGTACAGTCTGTCTCTGTGGGTCAGCACAGTCTGTCTCTGTGGGTCAGCACAGTCTGTCTCTGTGGGTCAGTACAGTCTGTCTCTGTGGGTCAGTACAGTCTGTCTCTGTGGGTCAGCACAGTCTGTCTGGTCAGTACAGTCTGTCTCTGTGGGTCAGTACAGTCTGTCTCTGTGGGTCAGCACAGTCTGTCTCTGTGGGTCAGTACAGTCTGTCTCTGTGGGTCAGCACAGTCTGTCTCTGTGGGTCAGCACAGTCTGTCTCTGTGGGTCAGTACAGTCTGTCTCTGTGGGTCTGTACAGTCTGTCTCTGTGGGTCAGCACAGTCTGTCTCTGTGGGTCTGCACAGTCTGTCTCTGTGGGTCAGTACAGTCTGTCTCTGTGGGTCAGTACAGTCTGTCTCTGTGGGTCAGCACAGTCTGTCTCTGTGGGTCAGTACAGTCTGTCTCTGTGGGTCAGTACAGTCTGTCTCTGTGGGTCAGTACAGTCTGTCTCTGTGGGTCAGCACAGTCTGTCTCTGTGGGTCAGTACAGTCTGTCTCTGTGGGTCAGCACAGTCTGTCTCTGTGGGTCAGCACAGTCTGTCTCTGTGGGTCAGTACAGTCTGTCTCTGTGGGTCAGTACAGTCTGTCTCTGTGGGTCAGTACAGTCTGTCTCTGTGGGTCAGCACAGTCTGTCTCTGTGGGTCAGTACAGTCTGTCTCTGTGGGTCAGTACAGTCTGTCTCTGTGGGTCAGCACAGTCTGTCTCTGTGGGTCAGCACAGTCTGTCTCTGTGGGTCAGTACAGTCTGTCTCTGTGGGTCAGTATAGTCTGTCTCTGTGGGTCAGTACAGTCTGTCTCTGTGGGTCAGTACAGTCTGTCTCTGTGGGTCAGCACAGTCTGTCTCTGTGGGTCAGTACAGTCTGTCTCTGTGGGTCAGTACAGTCTGTCTCTGTGGGTCAGTACAGTCTGTCTCTGTGGGTCAGCACAGTCTGTCTCTGTGGGTCAGCACAGTCTGTCTCTGTGGGTCAGTACAGTCTGTCTCTGTGGGTCAGTACAGTCTGTCTCTGTGGGTCAGTACAGTCTGTCTCTGTGGGTCAGTACAGTCTGTCTCTGTGGGTCAGCACAGTCTGTCTCTGTGGGTCAGTACAGTCTGTCTCTGTGGGTCAGTACAGTCTGTCTCTGTGGGTCAGTACAGTCTGTCTCTGTGGGTCAGTACAGTCTGTCTCTGTGGGTCAGTACAGTCTGTCTCTGTGGGTCAGTACAGTCTGTCTCTGTGGGTCAGTACAGTCTGTCTCTGTGGGTCAGCACAGTCTGTCTCTGTGGGTCAGTACAGTCTGTCTCTGTGGGTCAGCACAGTCTCAGCACAGTCTGTCTCTGTGGGTCTGATGTTTTATGCTCCTCTCCTGCAGGCAGCTACATCACCACCATCGGGGTGGACTTCAAGATCCGCACCGTGGACATCGATGGAGAGCGGGTGAAGCTGCAGATCTGGGACACGGCGGGGCAGGAGAGGTTCAGAACCATCACCTCAACGTAATAATCCTACACGCAACAACACTGCTTTTATATTCAGCAATTTTCCACACTTTTTTTTGTAAATGTTTTCTTTATTTTAAGAAATGATATTGTTACAGGGCATACACAACAAATAAATACATCAAATAACAACAGATTTAAGGAAGAAAAAGAAAGCAGTGAAAATCATTTTATATAATTTATTCTCATCTTAATTTTCACATTTGTTTCTATCTTTCACCCAGGATATAAACATGTTTTTTTCATACTAACTTTCTGTTCGTATATTTAGTTTACAAGATCCTTCCATTTTTTTGTTTTGTCTTTTCATCTTTCATTTGAGCCCCATGCTGTATCACTTCATGAATTCATCTTTCTTTGCGCAGGTACTACAGAAACACCCACGGGGTCATTATAGTTTACGATGTGACAAATCCAGAGTCTTTTGTAAATGTTAAGAGGTGGTTAAACGAAATCTCCCAGAACTGTGACAACGTCTGCAAGATCCTGGGTGAGTCCACCGTATTTATTTCAGTTTAAAGTGTGTTTCATGTGATCTGCATGGTGCACTGTTCTCAGGCTCAGACATAGTGGCAGACACTGCAGTTAATTGAAGGGCCACTGGAGGCTCCACTGCTGCATCCATCACAAAGCTAATATTGGAATTAAAATGGTTTCTCTAAAATCATCATTTCCTTTTCTATGCAATTCTCATAGATAAAGTGAGAGAACTAATTAAAAGATAGGATACACAATACTAACTTAAGGATAAAGTCCCAGTTTGTTTTAGTCTTTTCATGCAATGAGATGAAAATAATAATAAAACGTTGAAATTGTTCCTGTCCTGAAAAATAGTCATGTATAATTTCCCCTGTTCCTCTCTTAGTGGGAAACAAAAGTGACGACCCCACCCGGAGACAGGTGGATACCCAGGATGCAATGCGTTTTGGGGAGTCAATGGGGGTTCGGGTGTTCGAGACCAGTGCCAAAGAAAACATAAATGTGGAAGAGGTAACTTCAAAATTATTTCATAGTCACCATACTGTATTCGACATTACTTATACACATATATATATATATATATATATATATATATATACACATATATACATATATATACACATATATATATATATATATACACATATATATATATATACACATATATATATATATATATACACACATATATATATATATATATATATATATGTTTGCAGGTAGTTGGCCCATGTATAGAACATCAATCCTAAAATTAATGTTAATTTCAATCTTTCTATATCCTTATGCATTTTTTAATTTATAATAATTTTTTGTTTATAATTATTGTATATGTTTATATATATATATATATATATATATTTTTTTTTTTTTAATTGTATTATTATTTTTACCTTACAAAAAACCCCATATTCCATCTATAAAATCCTAATTAATTTCATTTTAAAAACTATGAATTGAAATGTCCCGTCCTGCTTTGTCCAGATGTTCATGGCCTTCACCCACATGGTGCTCCGGGCCAAGAAGCAGAGCCAGAACCGAGCGGAGCGGGAGCGAGAGCGGGAGAAAGACACGGTGAACATCAACTCCCACCGAGACCGGGACCGCCGGAAGAGAGCGAAGAAATGCTGCTGAACAGACTCCACCACGAAGAGCATTCAGACAAGATGGGGGAAAACGTGCCTTAGGAGAAAAGTCTCTGCGTGTCAAACTGCAGACGTTTGGAAGTGTGGCGTTCACTGGCTGCAGGTGGAGAGGGGACCTGAGGCAGAGGGTTTACAGTCTGTCAGCACTGACTGCATGTAGCAGCCTGGAGGGTCAACGAGTTAAAGGATCCTTCTGGGGGTTTTCTGTGAAACTTTAGCCCATTTACTACCACAATCACATTGTAGATGCTATTTGGACGCTGCAGAGCAGAGCCAAGACTCTTAGCTCATTAGAAAAACACAAAGCGTGCCCTTCAGGTGTCAGAGCAGAAATAAGAGTGAAACACAGGTAAGTGTTCACACAAGGATAATAGGAACACAACATCTAAGTAAAGTAGTAGTATAAAAAAAAGAAATAGGATTGCTGTAGCGTTTCCTGTATTTTGCTCTGCTGCCGTGCAGATGGAGACTTTCTTGGTAAGTCAGACAGCTCTAGAAATGAATGCTCAGATTTGCTGTTGAAAATACCATCTATAGATCAGTGTTTGCATACACTTTTTTTGTTTGTAACGGGACTCTACTAATAACTTTTCAAAGTCTTTTAACCTGCTAATTAGTTTCTAGATTAATTTAAAATGACATTGGTGAAATATTTCCCAGGTGATGCTACCAGATGTTTTATTTAATCCAAAACAAATACATTTTCAACATAGTTTTCACAAATTAAAGCTCAGATTAATTTGAAATGTTGATATTCAGGCGTGCAAGATTATCTCAGCGTTTGGGTGACCTCTTACTTCCTTTGCTGCCAACATAACGTTGAACACAAGAAATGTTTAAAGCTATTGGACAGATGCCATGAAATGTAGTGCGCTTTCTTTCACAGTATGTGTTTTGCCTCACCAGATGACGGATATAAGACAGACCTGAAGACATCTACATGTCAATATGTACTCATAGTGATAGCTCCACAAGCAAGCAACAGGAAGTGACCGCTATGAGACTCACTTTAAGCGCTTTACATGCCGGATGCAGTGTTGTCTACGCCTGATGTACGGGAAACTACGCACAATTACCAAGTGCTCTTTATAATAAAAAATGTACACAGGAAGTGGCAATTAAGTCCTACCAGCAATTCTCAAAATGCATAAAAGATTCCAGAACACAAAGCAAAAGTCCAAGTGGAAATGTAGTAACTCAATTGGCTTTTTTTCCCTTGCAACTGTGATGGTTATTACAGAGATCAAATTGTTGCCTTTTATCAACAAAACAAATCGTAAAGATGTCTTATGAAAACCAAATCAAATATCTTTGTACCCGGGGTATTGTGATGATAATGACTACGTTCACAAAATATATATTTTTGATCAATAATTATAAATGGATTGAATGAATTAGTAGTTAAAAGGAAACAATATAACACCTAGGAAAGTACATACATTTACTGTGACGCAGCCTTTACAACTAGGAAAAGACAACACAATATTACGATATCCGAAACCAGAGACGATATGGAGTCTGTTGTCGAAATATTGATATATTAGGCAGCCCTATTTTTAGATATGGATTAAAAGCGTGTGGTTGTGGTGTATGAGCTAAAACATCTAATCTCCGGTACGGTCCTTTAACTTTGCACTAGTAAACCACTGTTATGTGCCAATGTTTTATTTTTTTGTTTTGTCTTAATACAGTAAACGTATTTACCACTGAAAGGGAACTGGGTGTTACTAAAGTGTAACCTCACACTAACCTGTGTGATGGGTCAGCCTTATTTCAGTTAGAGTGAGGCCTGTAATCCAAGACTAGTGTGTGTGTGTGTAACAACGCAGTACAGGCCCAAAATGTTCATTAGTATATTATTGTTTTTTTAATAAAAATCTGTTGCCTAGCAAATATGTCCAAATCCAAATAAAGCAATAAATCCAGACTCAGTTTGTATGTCGATTTTTTTTTTATCTTAAGAAAATAACCACTTCCTTAAAAATAAGACTCAGATACTCCTAAAAGTTGACTTTTTTTTTTTTTTCAGCATCATTCTCAATTGAATTGAATTACTGGCCACTTTATTAGGTACACCTGTTCAACTGCTCGTTAACGCAAATATCTGATCAGCCAATCACATGGTAGCAACTCAATGCATTTAGGCATGTAGACATGGTGAAGACGACCTGGTGAAGTTCAAACGGAGCATCAGAACGGGGAAAAAAGGTGATTTAAGGGACTTTGAACGTAGCATGGTTGTTGGTGCCAGACGGGCTGGTCTGAGTATTTCAGAAGCTGCTGATCGACTGGGATTTTAACACACAACCAAAGGGTTTACAGTGAGCGGCTGTTCTCTGGGGGGAAAGGCCTTGCTGATGCCAGAGGTCAGAGGAGAATGGCCAGACTGGTTAAAGACAATAGAAAGGCAACAGTTACTCAAATAACCACTCGTTGAAACAAAGGTATGCAGAAGACCCTCTCTGAACCACAACACGTGGAACCTTGACGCAGAGGGGCTACAGCAGCAGAGAACCAGGTGCTACTTTTGGCTCAACAAAAATGGACAATAGAAGATTAGAAAAATGTTGCCTGGTCTGATGAGACATTCGGACAGTAGTGTCTGAATTTCACATGAACACCATGAGAGCATGGATCCATCCTGCCTTGTATCAACGGTTCAGACTGGTGGTGTAATGGTGAGGGGGATATTTTCTTAGCATACTTAGGCCCCTTAGTACCGATTGAGCATTGTTTAAACGCCATAGTAAATACAAATATAGTGTCCTTCCTGGTTCATTTAATAATAATAACTTGGATTTTTATAGCGCCTTTCATAATACCTAAGGTCGCTTTACAAGGAAGAACAGAAGTATAAACAAACAAAACAAAAGGCAGTCAGACGAACAGTTTAGACAGACAAGACAACAAATAGATTTGGGGCCAAAGTCCTTGGCAGACAGATGGGACTTGAGGGCCCTTTTGAAGGCGTCAAGTTTGAAGTAGACACACACAGGAGACATTAAAAAGCTTTAATATTAACAATACATTTGTGTTCAACACCAGTAACCACAGCAATGTGGAAGCAGCATCAAAACACTGCACTGATTTGAAGCTGGGTGGAAGTGCCTTTATTTTGAAATCCAACTTTTCAGAGGAATGACCCAGTAAGAAAAGTTTGACACGCTGATGAAAATAACTCTGAAGTTAATTAATTCTTTCAGCTTATCAGATAAAAGTCTGTCTGCACAACAAAGTCATTTTTATAGCTGCAACCAGTACCTTTAGTACTGCTGTCACACTCTCCTCCCCTCCGTCCCCCCCCTCAGTTTGCTTTGGGGAGCCTGTAGACGCCAGCAGACACCAGCAGCTGATGCTCCCTCACCTTCCTCTGCAGGAAGCCTTCCAGCTCATTAATGTCCATCTCCGTGACGACGGGTCCCGTGGCGACGAACATCCGGAGCATGGAGTGGATGCGGTCCAGTGTCATGCTGTCCAGGTTAGTCAGCATGGCCTGGATGTAGGCCCAGAACAACTGCAGAGAGGGGGGGGGGTTCAGAAGTTAAGCAGGGCCTTTTCGTCTGGTTGATTCTTATTTTAAACTACATGGGAGCTTTACACAAACATGACTTGTGAAACTCTATAAGCCATTCAAACTTTATATATTATTTATCCTGCATTTAACTGGCACCATTATGTCACATGCACTATTTTCTATCAGTATTTTGTAATGTCTTGACCATCATCAGAATCAATCATTATACTTTATTTATCCCATAGAGAAGTTGTGGTGTGAAAATGTGCACCTTTTAATATAATATATATCAACAATAAATACTTTTAAATGTTTTGGGGCTATTTTTGTCATGCATTTTGTATCTCTATGAACATGAATCATGCATTTAATTAGGACATCATTGTATGTATCATTTATACATGAGGCTAATTCACCTTTATATTTCAATTATTAAATTACAATGATACCTGGATGCTTACTCTTCTTGCCATTCACCTTTGTGAACGTGGTGACCAAATATCAAAAATGACATTCAATATAGCTAAAAGATCAGAAATAAACACATTCACATTGAGTCTGAGCGTCGAATCAACGTGGTGTTGTTTGCAGTGGTGAAGTGGTTCAAGACCAGCTAAAGAAAATGAATTGCTAACTATAATAATAATTACTCAATATATAAATCACATTTGAATTTGAGAAACTGGAATGGAAATGTTGACAGTCTGCCAGTTTATTCAATAGCATTTCACTGATTTCTCAAGAAAAAAATCTGCTAATTATTAGATCATTTAAATAAGTGTGGTTATAGAGACTTCCAGATCAAGAGGCACAGCATGGTAACCAAGCTCTCCACGCCATCAAGCTAAGAAATGATGCCATTTTCCAGATGACCGTTTCTTACAATAATATGTGCAGGTTAATCTAAAGAAAGTCTACCCAGAAACCCGACTGAGACGCAGCTCTCTGATATGTAGAAGATGTGTGCTGAATGAGAGCAGGACATGAAGCTGAGTGATGCTCACCTGCAGCTTCTCCTCCCTCTGCTCCGACTGGGTGGTGGTGTTGGAGTCTCTCTCCTCGTCGCTGTCGATCAGCATCACCCCCCTGTCCATCTTCTCTTTGGACGAGCCCGTCTCCACCACGTAGTAGCGCCCCCCCGCCTCCTCCCTCAGCACGCCGTGCTGCTGCCACAGAGCCAGCTTCCTGTGCAGCAGCTCCTTCGGGGCCCCCAGCTTCACGCTCAGCTCCTCCAGCGTCCAGGAACCTGACGAGGACAAAATGGGATGGGGGGGTAGGTACTTTATAAATGCATAAAAAAGCTTATACGGATTTAAATGTAGACTCAGTGTTTTTTCTGTTAAAGGACAGCTATTATGCAAAATCCACTTTTATACATAAATATGAGATTCGGAAAGTTTCAGGAAAAAAGGGGATTATGGGTAATGCTGCAATGATCTGTTTGGTGTTTGCAGCCAAACTCTTCAGAGACATGTTTTGTATATATCTGAGACCTATAATGTATTGATGAAAAAAATAATCTAATAGGGGAACAAGTTAGTACCAAATAGTACCAAGAAGATTGCATGGAACCTCATAAAAGAAATCATCTGATCAGATCCTAATTTACCAAACTTCTGGTGCCTAGAAAAAACCCCACATAAAATCAGAGAAAAACAAATCAAGGCATTATCAAATGTTGATCATTTAAGAGTCCGCCACGTGGAGACAGAAGGGAGGATTGTGTGTGACAACATTTTTTTGTTTTATTATCGATTAATTGAATTACTTTTTAATATTTAAAGGTCACCTATTATGCAAAATCCACTTTTTCATGTCTTTTATAACATGTGTCCCCTCTGTGTAAAGAGATTCTGAAAGTTTCAGGTAGAAAGATTCTCTCACTTTTTGTCCTGATCCATTTATATAAAAACCTGTCTGAATGAGCTGATCAGAGTTTGGCCACTTGATGTCAAAACGATTGTTTTGGCTTGTGTAACCATTAGCCAATCCCCCCCCCACCTTATCACCTGAATCTCCTCCTAGAGCACCATTGTGTTCTTTTTAACCAAATATCTCTCAGAGGGGCGTGGCTCCTAATTTTCATCTAAAGTAACAGACAGAGGCCGTTTCTCAATCTCGAGGATTCTGGCTTCCAAGCCAATATTTCAAGGATGCTACGTCATCGAGTGCCGGCGAAGGACTGTTCCAATCTCCAGCATACTTGGAATTCCACCGAGGCCGCGTCCTTGGTTTGGGGGACATTTCGAGGCTGCACATGGGTAGACTTCGCGTCCTTAAAATCCCCACAATGCTTTGCGCACGGACCAATTTCAAAAACCCTTGCGGAGAATGGCTGAACCGATGCAGCACACATTGAAATGTAAGTATGTAGTGGCGTAGAACATGTGTTGGTAAATATGTTACTTTGTTACATTTGTTTGTTATCACCAAAAATGTGTTCCGTGAAAGTAAAGCAAGTTCATAATTAGATATTCATCGTGAAGTATTTATTTTTGGTACAGTTTATGTTGAAACCGTTAGAGAGAGTGGCACACTTGTTAGCCTGTTCCATTCTTCTTCGTTTTCCGAAGCCGTGGCTTGGAAGCATACTTGCTTCGTTTCTGAAGGAAGTGACTTGGAAGTACGCGACTACCAAGCCAGCATCCTCGAGATTGAGAAACGGCCAGAGAATCAGCACTTTTGAAACAGAGGGGTTTATGGGATGCTACAATGCACGATCTGTTTGGTATTTTGAGCCAAACACTTCAGAGACATGTTTTGTATATATCTGAGACCTATAATAAAGTAATGAAAAACAGTATAATAGGGGACCTTTAATTATTTGTGCGCAAATATCTCAATTATTTAGCATTTTATGGTTTAAATAAATTCTAATAAAATAATAAAAACAAGATGACAGCATGAGCCTTTGTAGAAAATCTTCTGACCAGGTTATTCATTTTCAAATGTCTTGTGCACAAGAAAAAATAATCCAGCAAATGCAGGGGAGAAACCAGGACATGACAGATCGTACTTTTGTCCTGGAAGTGCAGGATGATGGCAGCGTGGATGGGGGACACGGTGAGGTTGGTGAGGGTGCGGTCCTCCAGCTCCAGGTCCAGAGTGACGGAGCCCAGGTGAGGCTTCCAGCTCAGCGTCCTCATGGCCTGAAACAGGAGACAAACTGCTGTTCATATGTTTATTTATACTGTTTACAAAATGTGTGGCTCAATACAGTTGTTCTAAAGCAGGGGTATTCAACTCAAATTCAACGAGGTCCAGTTAGAGTAAATCTCCCCATGCAAAGGTCCGGAACATCAAAATGTCTAACTTGCTTCATGAATTAGTGTGATATATATTGAAGTAGCTGCAGCTTTATCAACGTCT